GGAGGCCAGAGGTCTGTGTTATGCATCTTCTCTACCTTATTTTTTTTTGTTTGTTTGGGAAATTATCTCCCAGTGAAGATACATTTTGTCTATTCAGCTGTATTGACTGGCTGGTCAGCAAGCCTCCTCAGATCTACCTTTACAAATACATGTCCCTGCATCTGGCTTTGTATGTGGGTGCTGGGCATCTGAACTAGGGTCTTCATATTTGCATGATGAAGCACTTTACAGAGAGTCATCCCCTTCTTTAAACATTTTAACTTAATCTCACAAAGGTTATTATTGGTGGAGAGTAGCACATGGTGTAGTGTTTTATCCTCACAGTTTTTTTTCCACCAGATCTGTAGTATATCCTTAGTTTCTGAGGATCCAGTGAGATGATGTATGCAAAGTACATGCTAAAATCAGTGTTTACCTTTTGGTAATAGATAGGAAATCACAATATCTAGTGTCTTTATTTGAACTAATAATCAGTTCATTACCTCCTTCAAACAATGATAAGTACAGTTAGTGTGTTAGCAATCTCATCTCTTGATTGCCTTTTCCTTTTATCCAAACATAAGATCTGAAATTTCTTAATCTTCATTTTCCCAAAGCCAAGAGAATCTCTTAATTTTACAGACTCTGTTACGTGTGTTTGGTAGCTGAAAATATGTTTTGTGAAAAAAATGGTTAATTTTCTCTTGAAGAAAACTATAACCAGTACCAATTTTTATAAATACCATAAATGGTAGTATTCTTTAAAACAAATAGCAAAGTGACCAACACAAGTAACCACCACAAACTAAGCTAGTTACAAAAAGATTATTTGAAATAACTGCATTTTTAATTTTCTAAGATTTTCTTAGTTGTTTGTGTGTTATGGAAAGACTTTTTCATAATACACTTTTGATTAGGTTGTTATTTTATAAAGAAATTTTAAGTTAAAAGTATTTTTCAGACACAACGTAAAATCTTGGATGATTTTAGTACAAAGACATTGAAATTGACTCAACACCATCTGATGACAGTGATCTGTCAAGCTCAAGGACGCAGGTCTGTAGCACAAATCTGTCTGGTGGACTGTGCATACTGTGTACTTTTGAACTGTGGCCCTTGTGTTTTAAAACAATCTTATTTTTTCCTTTTTTAATAGAGATGAAAATATTGACAAATTTCAAGTCACTCTTCTAGATGAGCTGGAGAGAATTGAAAGAGCCTCAAAGACTTTACAAGACTTCGAGAAGGAGCTTGTGGTTTGTGATCCTAAAGATTAAAAAATATTTCTTAAAATGTTTAAAGTCTAATATAGCTCTTTAAAATTGTTTGCTCTACACTTTGAGAGACCATTGTAGGTCTATGTGTTTATCTGTCAATCTGTCTTTATTTAAAACATACTTCCATCTTATGTCAGCCTTTTTTGAACTCTGAAATTGCCCACAAATTTATAATGAATGAATATCTTGGATAATGTGGGAGACATCTGAGAGATTTTACTTCTAATACTTGTAATCTGAATATATATATATATATATATATATATATATATATATATATATACACACTATATACAGTTTTCTTAGCCTATAACCAGTTTTTACACAAATTTAGATTTTAATCATGTTAAACTACAAGGGTTTTTGTTTTGTTTTGTTTGTACCTTAAAACTTAGGACGTCGGGGAAAAATTAGTTCAGAAGATGTGGGCATATTACCGAAGTGAGCAGGAAAGGTTAGTATGCTTTTCTTAATAGAATCTGTAAGTCTGTATATGAAACATAACATATTCTTCACTACAGCAGTGGGATGTGAACTGACATGTAAAATGTTAATTCTTATTTTATTTATTAGGCTTCGTGTTTTGAAAACTTCACTGGATAAAAGTTTTTTTGTCCATAACTCTGTTTATGAAGAAGCTATTTTTACATCTGAGGTATAAATTTTATATATTTATCTGTAACCTTAATGTTGATTAGTATAACTTGGTTTTTGTTGTGAAAATTTGATAAATTTCATGAAGGAAATGTACTGTTTGCAGATGCGTTTGATGAAAGCAAACATGAAAATTCTGCAAGACAAGCTGCTTAAGGAAATGGTAAGTGAGCTGCATGTGTTCTTCCATGTAATTACCTGGCTTTGGTGCTCTTTTCTGTCTGTTTTATAAAACAGTTTCTTGATTTTGTGCCCAGGTTGCTCTTAAACTCTCTCCTCAGCCTCCAGAATGTTCAGATTATTGGCATGGATAATCTACCACATTTGTTTACTTTTTTTTTTTTAATGGAAAACTCTTCCAAAGGTTTTTCACACTTTTTGTTTGTTAGTTAATTTGTTGGTTGGTTGGTTGGTTGGTTGGTTGGTTGGTTGGTTGGTTGGTTGGTTGGTTGGTTTAATGGGAAGAGCAAAGTTTGTTTTTGTTTTCTTTTTGCGGTAGGTTCTATCTGATGACTTTTAGTTCTTTAATCTTTATGGGAACCTTGTTTGGATGATCAATGGATAAGGGATCCCTTCACAGGAAACAGATGATTTGCAATTGTAAAAACTAGGTGAAGAAATGACTTGTTTGTACTGTTTATAAATCTATACTTTATCTAAAGCCAAGCAACCCGAACTCCTGAGTGGAAGAACTGTTATCTGCATTAGCAATGGCACTTCATTGATTTGCATAAACAAATACAGTTGCCTCTCTAAAAGTCAAGTAGACTACCATCTACATTCTAGGATGAAGTGCTCCCAAGGTGACTTGTGTCACTGCTTTACAGGGACATGTTGAAGGTTTTCTCAAAGTTTTAAGTACATAATAATAGTGACCTTTATCTGTATAAAGTATTAAAATTCTTGTGAAATGTAATGTCATGCAATACTAAGTGGTACAGATTATGAACCTGTAGCCAGGCTCATGCAGCTTGAGCAAATAAGCTGCCTAAGTTGATCCTCACTGAAAAAAAAAAAAAATTCTAGAATTTTTTTTGTATTTTAAATTTTTTTAATTTATTACAGTTTATTGACTTTGTATCCCAGCAGTAGTCCCGTCCCTATTCCCCTCCCAATTCCACCCTCCCTCCTTCATCTCCTCCCATGCCCCTCCCCTAGTCCACTGATAGGGAAGGTCCTCTTCCCCTTCCATCTGACCCTAGCCTATCAGGTCTCATCAGGACCTTCTACATGTCTTCCTCTGTGGCCAGGTAAGGCTGCCCCTCCCCCCCGCCCTGGGGAGGTGCTCAAAGAGCCAGCTGCTCAGTTTATGTCAGAGACAGCCCCTATTCCCCTTACTAGGAGAAACCCACTTGGAGACTGAGCTGCCATGGCTACATCTGTGCAGGGTTCTAGGTTTTCTCCATGAGTGGTCCTGGGTTGGAGTATCAGTCTCAGAAAAGACTCCTGGGCCCAGATTTTTTGGTTCTGTTGCTCTCCTTGTGGAGCGTCTGTTCCCTCCAAGTCTTTCTATCTCCCCCTTCTTTCATAAGATTCCCTGCATTATGCCCAAAGTTTGGCTATGAGTCTCAGCATCTGTTTTAATACCCTGCTAGGGGGAGTCTTCCAGAGGCCCTCTGTTGTAGGCTCCTGTCCTGTTCCCTGTTTTCTCCCCTTTCCGATGTCTATCCCATTTGCCTTTCTGAATGAGGATTAAGCATCTTACCCATGGTCCTCCTTCTTGCTTAGCTTCTTTAGGTGTAGATTTTAATATGATTAATATGATTTAATTTAATATTATATGTCTAATATCCACTTAAGTGAGTATATACCATGTGTGTCTTTCTGCTTCTGAGACACCTCACTCAGGATGATCTTTACTAGTTCCCACCATTTTCCTGAAAATTTCAGAATTTCCTTGTTTTTAATCGCTGCGTAGTATTCCATTGTGTAAATGTTCCACAATTTCTGTATCCATTCTTCAGTTGAGGGACTTCTGGGTTGTTTCCAGATTCTGGCTATTATGAATAAAGCTACTACGAACATGTTTGAGCAAATGTCCTTGTTGTATACTTGAACATTTTTTGGATATATGCCGAGGATTGGTATAGCTGGCTCTTGAGGGCTTTTTTTAACTCTTCCTTTAAATTTTTTATGTGGAGCTTTAAAAGATTGCAAGGCTTTTCTTTAGTATCGTGAATATTGCTAATGGATTGGAGAATCGTCTAGATACCTCCATGTAGACCCTAAGTGGCTGGGTGGATTGAGCACTAATTGTATCTTTATACAAATGATTGTTTTTCCCTTTGGTCACAGCATGAAGAGGAACTTCTCAACATACGCAGAGGACTAGCATCATTGTTCAAGGCTCATCAAGGAAATGTGTGAAATCCAGCTGCTGTCAACACATTTTACCTGATTATTAGTTTTTGTGTATAACTGAAAAAAAAAAAAAAAAGTGGCCTTGCAGATATGTATCATCCAAGCAGCTTGTAGGCTTGTGTGCAGGAACCTCCACTCTCAAGTGTTAGAGATGAAAAACATGACACCAAATGCAACTTATGTGTACTATGAACAAACTGTAACAGGAGCTTGCTTTAGAATCATATTTACATAATTATGCCTATAAAGCTAGTGTTTTTACTTAAGTATTACATAAAGTGTATTTTTAAATTAGTACAGTTTTGGAATAAAATATACTGAAATTTGCATAATAGTTTGGAAATACACAGGTAGTAAAATATTAGCCCTTCTTTGAAAGGGGAAAAGGCCCTGGTTTATAATGTTTACTTGTTAGTACCTTCATACTTTGAGATGTTTATGATTCCAGTGCACAAAAAAAATGTACTAAATGACCTAAAATTGTACTTATTTCATAAATATTTTATCACAGTGTAGAAGTCTTAATTCCGAAGAAGGCTGCTTGCCAATCCTTTCTAGGCTCCTGTTATTCATGTAATATTTTGTTAGATTATTTTTGAAATAAATGCTTATTTCACTTGAGTAAGTATAATTACTTTACAATTACTATTATTCTATTTTATGAACCAGAAATTACAAGCCACCTTAGTCAGACACTTGAAGGATAATACCAAGCTTTGCTCTCCTTTGTCTGTTTGAAGATGGTTGAGTATTTGAACAATACCAGAATTTAATAGTACAATGGTAAAGTGGTTTGGTTTTTTAGTCAAGCACAAAATACATTTTTAACATATTCAATTTACATCAGCTAAGATTTTAAGATTCATGAAGGGATGGAGTTTCTAGTTCAAATGAGATATTAACAATTTTTAGCCCCTCAGATGAGTTTGTATGTATAGCAAAGACTTGCTAAGATTAATTTTATAGTGTTTGTTTTAATTTTGAGACAGGTTTTGTAGAGACCTGGCTAACCTCAAATTCATCTGCTGCATCTCCAGCAGATGATGTGTATCTTCTCCTACAACTCCCAACTCTAACAGGCATTCCCTGGGAACCTACAAGACACAAGACACCTGGAAAGCAGGTCAGGGTAATTGCAGATTTTCACTTTCCAATTCTCCAAATCCAGTAATCAAGTATCACCCCTAGCTCTGTAGCAAACTTTGCTCCCTGCTATTCCTTCCTCCTGTGGGATACCCTTCTTCTCCCACCCCATACTCCTTATCTATCCTATCCCCATTCCTAAGAATTGGCTCCCAATAACTAGAAACATATTCTACATAGATACCCCAGTGGCCACATCTTGCAAGATCCCAGAAGAATTCCTACCAGGTAGCAGGGTTAACACACTCTCTTAAGAACCAGAGAGGGCAACAAAATGCAAAGAACAAAACACCCACCCAACAAAGACAAGACCACATGTCAGCAACTAGAATTACAATAATCTCAAAACCAGATTCTTAGCAAAATAAAACACAGCCAGGACAATAGGTCTTTATTATAGTCCAGCAACCCTACTACAGTAGGCCTTGAGGAATGCGACATAGCTAAAACACAAGAAAAGACCTTAAAGCAGCCTTTATGAATATGATGGATGTTCTTAGAGAGGAAATGAATAAATCCCTTAATCTATGAAATGCAAGCAGTGGAAAGAAATGAATAAAAGAGTTCAGGGCCTGAAAGTGAAAGTAGAATCAATAAAGAAAACCCAAACTGAGGGAAATCAGGAAATGAAAAAATTAGGAACTCAAATAGGAACCTCATAGGAAAACCTCACCAACAGAATACAAGAAACATGGACAAGAGAATATCAGGCATTGAAGACAAAGTAGAAATTGATACCTTGGTCAAAGGAAACTTTAAATCTAAAGAACACCAGACTTGAAACAGCCAGGAAATCTGTGACATTTATTTAAAAAAGACCAAACCTACAATTCAATAGGAATAGAACAAAAGGAATCCCAGATCAAAGGCACAGAAAATAATTTCAACAAACTCATAGGTATTTTCCCTAATCTAAAGGATATGTCTATTAAAGGATAAGAGGTATACAGAGCATCAGCTAGACTAGACCAGAAGAAAAAGAAAATCTCAGAACAAATGGTACTTTGAATGAAAATGGCCCCCTTAGGTACACAGGAAGTGGCATGATTGAAAAGAATTAAAACATGTGGCCTTGGAAGTGTGTCACTGAGGGCAGAATTTGAAATTTTAGAAGCCAGGCCCAGTGACACTCTCTCTGCTGCCTGCCAATCGACCTTCTTCTCCAGCATCATGTCTCCCTACATGCCAACCATGCTTTCCAACATGACAGTAATGGACTAAACCTCTGAACTGTAAGCCAGTTTCAATTAAATGTTTCCTTTGTAAGAGTACCAACTTCTTAGGGTTGGTACCAGGAGTAGGATATTGCTGTGATAGCCCAGATGGTACTTTTGTTTGAAAGAGTGTGGACTTTGTGTTTTGGGGTTAGAAAAGCAGTTGAATACTTTAAGTGGGGCTTAATGGGCCATAACAGTAAGAACATGAAAGACAGTGGTGCTGAGGGTAATTTGAACTGTGAAGGCCTGGATCAAGGGGTCTCAGAGGAAAAGAATATCAGTATGTAGCCTAACAAATGTTTTGTGATATTTTGGTAAAGAATGTGGCTGCTTTCTGCCCTTGTCCAAAAAAAAAAATGTTTTTCTCTAAGGCTAAATTAAAGAGTTATGGATTAAACAGCTATGTACAGATTTCCAGAGAGCCTGGTATTGACTGTTACTTGTTTATTAGTGACCACACTTATGCAGTCAATAATGTAAACAAGGAAACTGAGCAGGGAAAAATACAAAATTTATAGATTGAGAAGAAAAAGGACACCACAAAGTATAAATGGATTAAAGAAAAGCATGATGGTAACTAAGTGGAATAAAGGAAGTGATGGCCTCAGAGAAAGATCCTGCCAAGCTAAGATTCTAACTTGTGAAAAGGAATTCAAGAAAGACTTAGGGATAGGCACGGTAGTGCATACCTTTAACCTCAGCATTCAGAAGACAGATGATGAATCTAGAGTTAAAGGCCAACCTGGTCTGCATTCGAGTTCCAGGACAACCAGCCTTAGGCAATGAAGGAAATTACTGAAAAGAGCTGTTGAAAACGTATTTGAATGAGGGAGCCATTTTCCAGGTCCAGCAAGCAGCAGAAGTTGGCAACTCCAGTCATGTGGTTCTGGCTTTAGAGTCAAGGGCATAAGATAGGGGTAATGGAGTCTACCTCTGTAACTAAGGAAAGCTGCTGAGGCCAGGCATGTGTCAGGGGTGTGCTTGCATGGAGGCTCAGAAAAACCATTGTGTTACGCTGTGGAAGTAAGATCTGGATTGCCTTGAAGATCCCAAGGTGTTGAAGATGCCAAAGCCATGGGCTTCATGGCCAAGGAAAGCTGCAGACTGGGTATAGAACCAGAGAGAGAGAGAGAGGGAGGGAGGAAGTAAGTGTGTTGCAGTCAACATAGCTGAAAGTTGAAGATCTACAGAGCGCTTTGACATCAAACATGGAGATGCAGAGTTTGGAGTTTGTCCTGCTAGTTTTCAGTCTTGCTTTGATATAGTATTTCCTCCCTCTTTCCTCTTTTTTGGAATAGTAATGTATATTCTGTGCCATTGTATGTTTGAAGTTTGATTTAATGGGGTTACAGTTAAGAGATGGCATGAGCCTCAGAAGAGACTTTGAATTTTTGGACTTTTAAACAGTTGATATTCTTAAGCACTATAGCTGGGGATTTTTAAAGTAGGACTAAATGCATTTTTGCATTATTATATGGCTACAAGCCTTTACTGGCCAGGGAGTGGAATGTAGTGGTTTTAATGAAAATGGTCTACATAGGCTCATATGGAGTAGCATTTGAAAGGAAATATATGGTCTTGTTGGGGGAAGTGTGTCACTGGGGATGGGCTTTGAGGTTTCAGAAGCTCAAGCCAGGCCCAGTTGCTTACTCTCTGTTACTAAATGGACCTAACAGACATTTACAGAACATTTCACCCAATCAACAGAGTGTACCACCTTTTCCAAAGCTTATAGATGGAACATTCTTCAAAACTGACACATACTCTGACACAAAGCAAGAGCCAACAAATGCAACAGAAAGCTTAAAACTCATGGAAACTGAAGAAATCACTGCTTAATGAAAAAAAAAAAAAAAAAAAAACTAGGTCAAAGGACAGAAATTGGGAAAGAAACTAAAAGCCAAATCCGGTGGTTCACACCTTTAATGCTAGCACTCGGGGAGGCAGAGACCAGCCTAGTCTCCAAAGTGCATTCAAGACAGCCAAGGCTACACAGAGAAACCCTGTCTCAGAAAAACAAAAATCTGTAGTGAGAGTTTTAGTTTCTTTTGAAAGAATAAAGCCCTAGTATAATACTGGCAACACTATTTTGCAAGACTGGAGCAGTGCAGGGTCAGAGGCAAGGCAGGACAGATGCCCAACGACAGGATATCTGCGGTTGGGCGCCTAAAACACTCTGGGCACCGAAGATAAGAACCGGGTACATGACTCGGCTCACATCTCCCTTCCCGCCTTCCCTGTTCTGGGTACGTGACCTAACTATGGCTTTGTTCAAACCGCCCAATCAGATCCCTGTAACTATGCTTCTCGCTTCTGTAATCGTGCTTCTTGCTCCCGAGCCCTATAAAAACCCGTCACCCCAACCGAGAGGCGCGCAAGTCTTCCGAAAGGCTTTGTCGCCCCGGGTACCCGTGTATTGAAATAAACCTCTTGCGGCTTGCATCCGAAGGCTGGTCTCGCTGTTCCTTGGGAAGCGGAGTCTCCCCGTCTAGAGAGGCTCGAGCGGGAGTCTTTCACTTTTAAAACCTAGTTATGTAAATATGTTTTTGTTTTAATCACAGATAGGGATGTGGGGCTGCTTCTGGTTGTCCACAGCTGCTAACTATGATTGCCTTGTGCTCTAGGAGGGGTCTGATTTTTGATAGC